AGAAGGAACTTTTACCATTTGCAACAGCATGGATGGAACTGGAGAGCATTATGCTAAGTGAAATAGGCCAGTCAGAGAAAGATAAATATCATATGATCTCACTCATATGTGGGATACAATGATTAACATAATTTGATGAACAAGAATAGATCCAGAGACAAATGGTCAGGGAGTAGGGGGAGGTTAGAGAGCAACCAAAGGACTTGTATGCATGCATATTAGCATTACCAAGGGACACAGACACTGGGGTGGTGGGGGCTTGCCTGGGGTGGGAATAACTGGGGGAGGGGGTGTCAATTGGGGAAAAAGGAAACATATGTAAAACTTTAGACAATAAAAAAAAATAAAGAAGAGAGAGAGACTATGCAAACCGGAGAGCATGCCTCATCCAAGAAGGCAGCTGCTACTCCAGAAAAGCTGATTCTTGCTATGAAAAATCTGGGGTTTGGTGTTGCCAGAATTTTCTGATTCTTTAAGAGAAGCCAGAAACCAGGAATCCTGTTTTGGTTTGTATTTAAAAAAAAAAAACACACACACACACACAAGAAGTTTATTTAAACAACAAGATACTTGAGTTGAAGGGAAAACTATGTACGATTCATTTTTTTAGAGTAATTTATACCTACTTAAAGACAGATTGCCCTACATGTAACAGCTACATACAAAAAAGTTATAAAATTGTCCTTGGTTTTACAATGATAAATGAAAAACATTAAAATTCTCCAATCAAACAAGGTTTGCAAGAATTTTTATGTTGCTCTTTTTTTGTTAAACAGGGAGAGCAAAATAACTTACTGAAATATAAAGATAAGAGCTGGATGAGCATGCCACTAATGGAGAAAGGGGGTGTTTTCACAGAACCAGTATTTTTTCCCCATCCCATCTCCATTTGATGTAGATCAAAACATACCATTGGCCATTTAGTTAAAAAAAAAATTACAAATGCTTGTGCACATATATCGGTTACTTTATGTACAATAAAAGAATGGGGAAGGGGAAAATGAAAAAATAGAGAAAATTATACTGTAGTAGTCAGATGTGTTGAAACCAAATTGCAGTTTTCTAATTGAGAATGTCTTCTTGGTCTGGAGGAACAGAGTTCTGGAGTAAAGTAGCAGGTTCCCTATTTAGTAGACCCCTCCTGTCTGCTGCTGGAACACATCAATTGTATCTTCATCCTCCATTTCCAACTAGCATAAAGGAAAAAAGCCATTGATAGTTAAAATTTATAACTATCAGAAATATCCTGAAAAACTGCCCAAGTTTCACCCAATTCTAGTGTTGGTTATTTTAGACATCCCAGACACTACCTTAGTTAGCATCCCAGGCTTAGGTTTTAGTAATTTTTCACTTGGTATTCCTTTTTTAATGATTATACTAGAGAACTTAGCTTTTAAGTTAAAAACTGAACATCTCTACAAGTTAAATCATCTCCTTCAATCACTGAAAATAAGAGTGATGCATGTAAAGGATCTCACTATGTTGTTTAGATGAACAAGACTGGAAATAACCTAAGTATCAACAGAAACCCAAAGAAATACTATACATTCATAATGAAATACCACATAACTGTTATTAAAAAATAAGCAGATTTACATGTGCAGAAATCGAAACATTCCTATAATACTAAATACTCCTAGAATACTAAAAACAACATTTAAAAACTAGGCAACCTTTGTGTTTTTAAGTGTGTGTGTGTGCGTGTACACATGAATGTATCCTTGCCTATGCACAAAACAGTGGTTGCCTCTATGCAGTAAGGAAAGGGATCGGGCAAGAAGAAACTTGTGTTGTTTTTTAAGTTAATTTCAATTTTAAAGAATTTTTTTTTATATTTTATTGATTTTTTACAGAGAGGAAGGGAGAGAGATAGAGAGTTAGAAACATCGATGAGAGAGAGACATCGATCAGCTGCCTCCTGCACATCTCCCACTAGGGATGTGCCCGCAACCCAGGCAACATGCCCTTGACCGGAATCGAACCCGGGACCTTTCAGTCCGCAGGCCGACGCTCTATCCACTGAGCCAAACCGGTTTCGGCAAGTTAATTTCAATTTTAAAATGCTATTCACAAATTAAGTTTGCAAGTTTTACTACCCATACGTTATACACAAAACAACCATGTTGATAATAGGAAGGTTTTGGTACATATGGCAACACTGTAAAATGCAGGTGTGGGGAATCTTTTTTCTGCCAAGGGCCATTTGGATATTTATAACATCATTCTCAGGCCATATAAAATTATCAACTTAAAAATTAGCCTGCTCTGTTTGGTCAAACATTTAATTGACTCACCCCTAATGCCTTGGCAGGGCCAGACCAAATGATTTCTCCAGCTGTATGTTCCCCACCCCTGCTTTAGTGTAAATAATCTTTGTAACAGTTTATTATGCTGACAATTACCCTTAAAAATTTCTTTCTAAAAACTGGTAATTTTGAAAATAAAACAATCTTGAGCACCTAAAGACAAGAAACAGGCCCTGACCGGTTTAGCTCAGTGGATAGAGTGTCAGCCTGCAGACTCAAAGGTCCCAGGTTCGATTCCGGTCAAGGGCATGTGCCTTGGTTGCAGGCACATCCCCAGTGGGGGGTGTGCAGAAGGCAGCTGATCGATGTTTCTCTCTCATCGATGTTTCTGACTCTCTATCCCTCTCCCTTCCTCTCTGTAAAAAATCAATAAAATATATATTTTTTAAAAAAGACAAGAAACAGAACTGTTTCTAACAAAGTTCAAATATACTCAAAGTAGAGCTAAGGCTTTAAAATACATTGGGGCCTTGACTTACGAGTGTCCCGACTAACAAGTTTTTTGAGATACCAGCTGTCTCTCAGCCGATTTTTTGCATTGAGTTGATAGAGTAACTTGAGTTAACGAGCTCCTTAACAAGTTCCGTCTCAGAATGCATTAAACTCTCAAGTCAAAGCCCCACTGTATTAATACCTGCGTCTCAATTCCCTCTTTGTAAAAAGGCATAGCATTCAGTTATGCGAATGAAATGAGTTGAAGAAAGTATTTAACAGAATGATGGGGACATAATTATACTGCTATTAAAATTGGCTGATAAGGTTTTTTGATTTATTACAAGTCTTCTATTTAATATTGGGAAAACAATTCTAAAACAAGTCAATTTCATTCTAAAATGAATTCAATTCTAAATTCATTTGAAGATTTTGTAATGCAGGTCTGAATAAATCCTCCTCACAGTTTAGTATTTGCAACTAGCATGGTAGACAAGCCTTAGAACTACTTTCTGGTGGGGAGTGAGGGCTTCATTAAGACAGAAAATACATTCTAATCATCAGAGTTTAGCTTAATGAATTCTTTTTATTCTTTTAAAAACATCAATTCAGGCCCACCCAGGGATGCAAAAAAAAAAAAAACAAAAAAACCACACAACCACAACAAAACCACAAAATAAGACAAAAAACCCCACACACATCCAAACAGGTCTTCAGCCTATCTACTGTAACAAAACTATTAGCATTTTAAATTTTATAGTGAAACTTTAAATGCTTTTAAAAGATAAAAGAGCTTTTTCTCTTTCATCAAGGGAATTCAGCTGGCCCTAGCCGGTTTGGTTCAGTGGATAGAATGAAGGGTCCTGGGGTTCAATTTCGGTAAAAGGCACATGCCCAGGTTTCAGGCTCAATCCCCAGTAGGGGGGCGTGCAGGAGGCAGCTGATCAATGATTCTCTCTCATCATTGATGTTTCTCTCTCTCTTCCTCTCTGAAATCAATAAAAAAATATATATTTAAAGAGAATTCAGCTCCACCTTGTGGTTATGGACTATAACTGCTTCTTAGAGACTCACCAACGGAATTTCTTCAAAAGCTTCTCCTCTTAAGTATAACTCATAGATAATTCAATTTTTTTTAAGATTATCAAGGAAGCCACAATCTTGATGTGCTGCTTCACTCACACCATATTTATCACTTTCTGGTTTTTATGGCGTGATAAAAAAATTCAAAAATAGTCTCTCATTTAAATTTTCAAAGTGGAATTCTTAACTGGAACTTGAAAAGGTAAAAAGAAACAAAGAGCTTCTTACAATGTGACAGACCAACTGCGCTGATAGGTAAAGAGATAGAGGGATCGGACAGCATGACCTTTTTTTGTTGTTAATTCCCACCTGAGGACATTTTTTCCATTGATTTTTAGAGTGGAAGGGGTTGGGGGAGAGGGAGGGAGCGACTGGAGGGGGAAGAAAGAGGAGGGAGAGAGGGAGAGAGAAGAGAGAGGTGGAGAGAGAGATATAGATACATCAGTTACATTGACTGGTTGCCTCCCACACACTGGGCTGGGATGCAGGATGGAACCTGCATCCAAGGTACATGCCCTTCACAGGGCCAACACTCTAATCACTGAGTCACGTGGCCAGGGCAGCATCACAATCTGTAGTGAGGGTCTGGAAAGCCACCTGTTGTCAACAGCCCCCACTCTCAAACTAAGCTATCAAGAGACTTGCAGTTGTCCTGCAGGTATAACTCAGTGGTTGAAGGTCAACCTATGAACCAGGAGGTCACAGTTCGATTCCCAGTCAGGGCACATGTCCAGGTTGCGGGCTCAATCCCCAGAGTGGGGCAAGCAGGAGGCAGTCTATTCAATGATTCTCTCTCATTGATGTTTCCATCTTTCTCCCCCTCTCTCTTACTCTCTGAAATCAATAAACATTCTGAAGAAAATGACAATAAGAAAGGAATGGGTTAAAGTAACTAAATGACCTATTAGTTTTACTGAGTGATAACCAGATATTTTAAAACCAGTGGCATTTCCTCGATCTATTCCTATTTTTTTTCTTTCTGTTCCCCCTTGATCATCTTTTACATAGCTTTGAATTTTGATAAAGAACTGTATTTCAACATCTAAAAGTTCATAAATAAAGCTGTTAAGCAAATTACAAAAAAAAACAACATTGATTTTTCTAGTTAACAGAGATTTTTACCTGTGCAGGTGTGTCTGTCTCATTGATTGGCTGCCCGTCAAATCGGAATCTGATCTGCCTCATTGACAAACCCTGTACAAGAGAGTTTAAAAGCATCTTACTGCAAACAATAATAAAACTATATGCATATTTAGCCACAAATGTTTTAAATGAAACAAATACATTTGCTACCAACGTTTCTATGAGTAAAAAGATTTGGGGTGACTTTCACTTTCTTTAAACTATGTTTGATTTTCTTTGGAAAAATGTTTTTTAAAAGGTCTTCTTTTAAAAAAAGCTGCACTGCTTTTGAGACCATAGCTAATCCAACCTTGAACAGATCATACTGAGTCAAACTGCATTTAAATAAAATACTGAAAGGAAATTTGAAGTAACCGATGCACACAGCAATATTCCTCAGTGCATGTTAAAAAGATCAAGCATTACCTTCCCGACACAAAAGTGGGAAAAGGGGGAAAGGAGCAAAGCATTAAAGCTGTTGATAACTGCAGCCAAATGAAGACAAGATAGAAAAATAAAGTATCTTTGGAGGTATGGCATAAGTATATTAACTTGAAAGATAGCTTTCTAGAAAGCATCTTACGAAGTCACTTCAATATCATGCTCAAATTAAATTACAATTGCTACACAAAAGCCATACTTCAATGAATATATTTTAAATCCTCACCTGAGGATGTTTATATTGACTTTTGGGGTTTTTTTAGAGAGGAAGGGAGAAAAAGGGAGAGGTAGAGACAAACATCTATAAGGCTGCCTCCCACTGGCCCCTAGACTGGGAATGGAACCTGCGACAGGAAGACACTCCAATTTACTGAGTGTAAATACATACCACTTACAGACTAGCCCTTACCCTTGTCTTGAATACAAGCAATCCTCCATCAGGTAGGTGAAATTCCTCAAGACTTTTAATTAGCGATTAAAAAGGAACCAAGAATTCAATGCCAAGCATTAATTACCAAGTTTTACATATTTAAAAACACTCCACTGAAGTCTGTGCTTCAACAAAATATTAAGCACCTTCTATATGCTGGGTTCTTCCTTCACTACATCCAGGGGTAAGGTCGTAAGGACAATGGTGCAGCCATTCAAAATAAAAGGGGGGGAAAGGCAGGGACAGAAAATAAGCAAACTATATTCCTTTTTTTTTAAATCTTCACCAGAGGATTTTTATTGATTTTAGACAGAAACATCAATGTGCGAAACATCTGTATGTGCCCCGACCAGGGACTGAACCCAAAACCTTTTGGTGTAAGGGAAGATACTTCAACCAACTGAACCACCCAGCCAGGACTATTCCTTTATTGCCACCTGTTTATATACTTTTCTTTTTTTTCTTTCTTAACCCCGAGTGCCGGGGAGCGCAATTGCGCTCCTCCTGCAATTTTTTTTTCTATTAGTATTTTATAATACAATCAGCAAACAATATATGTCAAAGATGAAAACAAATGTAGTAAAGGTTTCCTTAAGTTTTTGAATATGTAACTTCATTTACTTGCGATTCATAATAAAATCAGCAAAAATGCCTTGGCAATTTTAGCATAGTTCCTAGGATATTGGTTGGCACTCAAAGGGTTAAATATATTTCATTGATTTCAGAGAGGAAGGGAGAGGGAGAGATAGAAACATCAAAGGTGAGAATCACTGATTGACTGCCTCCTGCATGCCCCCCCACTGGGGATTAAGCCCACAAACCAGGTATGTGCCTGAGACCCTTCAGTCCACAGGCCAACACTATCTACTAAACCAAACTGGCTAAGGCTATATGCTTTTCTTTATCAATAAAAGATTTTTCTATAGAGCAAAAGTCCAAAATTCAGAAAACTTGTCTTTAAGATCCCATAAGCCATGTAAATTCAAACAGGGAATTTACATTAAACCAGTACTTGAGCTCCTCTCCTGAATAAATCTCATCCCTGAGCTTTAGAGTTGTGCCTGAAGAGTTGTATGAGCTTATCTCTGTGGGTCCATTTTCTCACCTCACAAAAATGAATTGGACTAAACCAATAAACCTGTGCCCTCTGAAACCACCTGACACTCCATGAAATAATCTGTAGGGTAAATCCACACTACAATGGGAAAGTATGCTCTCAGTTAGCTGAAGACTATGTGGCTGACATAAAGTAGGCAAACTCTAATTCTACATGTGAATGAAAAACTTATGTAGGAACCAACCTCTGGAAATACTACATTGAATGTTCTCTACAACATGTTTGATATGCCAGGTATTGGTCTAGGGCCTAGGCTCTAGAGAAATAGTGATCAAAAAGGCCCTATGCTCATGGAGCTTGCATCTCCGTGGAGAGACAAATATAGACATCGATCAATGAAAAATATCCAACTGAATGAGGGTTGAATGCCAGGAAAAGCAGCTCTTTGAATTAATCAGGCACATCTCCAAGGAAATAACTTAGCAAGACTGGAATAAAATGGCTGAGGGCTCAGCAATAGCCAACAGAAATATAATGTGAACCACGTATGTATTCTTAAATTTTCTAACTGCCACTTGAAAAATATAAAATTTTAATAGAATATTTTAATTCAAAATACTATCATTTCAACATGTATTCAACATTTTAAAAACTAAGCTACTTTACTTTTCATACTGAGTTTCCAAATCTGCTATATATATTGCACTTTACCGCACATCTCAAATTGGACTAGCCACATTTCAAGTGGTAAATAGTTACATGTGGTTTGAGTACTGTATTGGACAGCAAAGGTTGTTAGAGAATTTGCTGATGGCTTATATGAGTTAGGAAAGCATCATCAAATATGACCCTAAGGCCCAGCTGGGATAGCTCAGTGGTTGAGCATCAACCTATGACCCAGGAGGTCACAGTTCAATTCCCCATTAAGGCACATGCCTGGGTTTCGGGCTCAATCCCAAGTGTGGGGCATGCAGGAGGCAGCCGATCAATGATACTCTTATTTATGTTTCCATCTCTCCCTTCCTCTCTGAAATCAATAAAAATAAATAATGACCCCCAAGGTTTTGACCTCACAACAAGATGTTGAATATTGCTGTTTACTTAGTGGGGACACCAGAGAAAAAGATTTCTAGAAGTAAAATCAAGAGTCCTCTTTTAGATGTTCAGTTTGAGATGCCCATTTTCATCCACTGAAACTCCAGAGTCAAGATATCAAGTGAGTTCATTACAAAATAAATAAGCGCATTCAATTAATCTTTACAGGAAATCCTTGGTCAAGAATTTTCAACTGCCAATTCTTAGTCTTTTGAGTCTATACCCACACATAAAAAGCAGGGAGTCAGCCAGGCTGGTGTGGCTTGGTGGTTGAGTGTTGACCTATGAACCAGAAGGTGAGGTTTGATTCCTGGTCAGGGCACATGCCCAGGTTGCAAGTTCGATCCTCAGTTAGGGAGCATGCTTGAGGCAGTATCTCAGCAATGTTTCTACCTCTCTAGCCCTCCCCTTCCTCGCTCTCTAAAGTCAATTAAAAAATAAAAATGAATAAAATTTAGCCCTGGCCATTACTCAGTTGGTTACAATGTTGTCCCTATACACCAAGGATGCCGGTTGGATCCCCAATCTGAGAATAAACATGAATTGACCAATGAATGCATAAGTAAGTGGAACAACAAATCAGTATTTCTCTCTTCCTTCCTCTTTCTAAAAATCAATAATGTTAAAAAGCTAAAATTTAGTAGTAACTAGAGAAAACTGAAGATACAGAGAATTTTGTTGAAAACCACCAAATCTAAGCATGAGTTTCTGTTCTGTATAAGATTTGGCTACATAAAACGTCTACAAAATGATTAGCTTTAAAAATTCCCCTGTATGCCCTTAGCTGGTTTGGCTCAGTGGAGAGCATCTGCCTGCAGACTGATGGGTCTCAGGTTTAACTCCGGTCACGACCACATGAATGCATAAGAGGGCTCAATCCCCAGTAGGGGGAGTGCAGGAGGCAGCCGGGGAGTGCAGGAGGCAGCCAATCAATGGTTTTCTCTCATCATTGATGTTTCTATCTCTCTCCCTCTCCCTTCCTCTGGGGGAAAAAAAAAAATTCCCCTGTAACCTGAAGGGGAACTAGTTTTCAAATATGAAAGGTGCCAGTGCAAAAAAATCTTTAGCACAATTAAGTACATATTCACTAACTGAAAGGGGAATTTCACCAAAATTCTTCAAATAAGAATATACTGAGGCCCTGGCCAGATAGCTGTTGGTTAGAGTGTTACTGATACGCCAAGGTTGTGGGTTCGATTCCTGGTCAGGGAACATACAAGAGCCAAACCAATAAATGCATGTATAAGTAGGACAACAAATCTGTTTCTCTCCCCGCCCCCACTTCCTGTCTCTCTAAAATCAAAAAATAAAAATTTTAAAAAGTACTTCTGTGAAGTCACTGTTGTATTTAACTTATGTAGGTACCAGAGTTTTTGTTACACTTGCAAAAGTCATTTTTAAAGTTGCCTTTGTATTGTTAGACTCATCACAAAGGGAAGCTTCTTTGTCTTACAGCTTACATTTACCTCCCAGCATCTATATATTTCTACTTCCTCTCCTTGATGTCTATTTACTATTATCTAAGTAAAATGCAAATGTCTTTAGAATATAAAAATGTTTATGCTTCGCTCAGGTTAAATTTTTTTAAATACATATTTCTTTATTGATTTCAGAGATGAAGGGAGAGGGAGGGAGACCTAGAAACATCAATGAAAATCATTGATCGGCTGCCTCCTGCACGCCCCCTACTGGGGATCGAGCCTGCAACAGAGGCATGTGCCCTTTTGACTGGAATCGAACCTGGGATTCTTCAGTCCACAGACCGACGCTCTATTCAGTGAGTCAAACCGAGGAGGGCAGACTAAATTTCTTGACATCCACTTTTAGTGTAAAAAGGGAATGTTAAAATTTTACACACTTCAGGAAAATTGCAATGTCCTTAAACTCACTTTTTTTTTAAATTAAACTCCCATTTAATTGTATTTAAAAAAAGAGCCTGACAAGAAATTTTACTATGTTCATTCTTATTTTCTTATATCACCTTGGAAACAAACCACGTGTTGTGCGTATAATTTGATGCATTTGTGGTACAGGACTAGACTCTAGTCATACATTAACCAACCCATCCTAGGGTTTTCATGAAGAATCAACATACCAAGTCCCAAGTGCATGATAAAATTGATATGTCAAATACATAAGTGCATATTCATTCTAGCAGTCAGTCTACTTATTATGCTAGTCTAGTCTCTATTCTCATGAAAATAAGGGTTTTTTTATTTAAATAAGTTTTATTCAGTGAAAGTGCTCATGTCAGTTCCTCACCTGTCGTTCACAATAGGCTTTCATTAGTTTACTAAGTGGTGTATGCCTCTTAATCTTAAACTGCACCACAGAACCATCCTGCCCCGCCACCTTCAAATTAATATGATCGTTGTTCTCAGTCTTGACTCCTTCCTGTTGAAAGAAAAATAAAGGTATAATTTGGAAAATGTGAAAAACAAACACCTTTTAAAGCAGCTGCAGCCCAAGTTGCTTCAGAAATCAACAGGTTTCTCATTCTGTATGATAAGAGAGCATACAGCTGTTTTCAGCCGCTGAAATCAATCTGAAAAAATGAGAAACCCTGAGGTGACATCAAATAGCTGTCTGCCACAGAAACAGAAAAGAAGCCTCATGCAATACTATCAGTGGCAACAATCAATTTTTAAGAATGAGTCCCACTCAAATTTACTACAGTGCTCTCTTCAAATGCCTAAAATGGTCTATTTGGTCACTTTCAAAAACTATCTTTTCCTTTAAAAAGTTAAAAATGAGCGTCCTTTCCCTTTTCAAAGTACAGATGCAGGGGAACAAACCTCGAGCTTGCAACTCAAAACTCATTACAATTCTCTCGTTGACGCTACCGAACTCGATGTTATGACTTAAATCTCAAGTTCCATGAACAAAGCTAATCGAGGAACATCCTGATTCTCTCTGAGGCAGCGGCAATAACTCAGAACCACCATTAACGTTCGCCTCTATTTGCAGCTTCATTTTGTTTATTTTTAGTGGAGAGCTTCTCCCCTCCCCTTTGTTGACATGAGTCAAATGAAGTTTATTCCAAGTCTTCCTCGCAGATTTCCACCTAATCTGAAGTTCACCCACATCGAGTGCAGAAAGAACTCTGTGGCCCCTGAAT